ACAGTCTAGTACAAGATAGATGGTGAGCAAGAAAACAAGTAAATAATCACAAGTTGTGCTAAATACTATGAAGGAAATACACAAGGTATTGTACATGAGAACAAGCGGACAGAAACACAGGGAAGAAGGTCATATGAAGAGAAGCCAAGACTGGAGTTATGCTGCCAAAGCCAGGAAGCGAGGAGCCACCAGAAGCTGAAAGAGGAAAGGAAGTATTCTCCCTAGAGCTTTTGGAGCATGTGTGGGCCTGCCAAATATCTTGACTTTCTAGACTTCTGGCCTCCAGACTATGGGAGAATACATTTCACATTTCTGTTGTTTACAGTCACCCAGTGTGTGATAATTTTTATGGCAGTCCTAGGAAGCTAAAAAAGATGGTGACCTACCCAAAAAAAAGAAGAGGACAAGCAGGCCAGGGAGTGTGCCTAGTCAGAATAGTCAGAGACAGCTTCTCTAAGAGGAGCATTTAAGCTGAGTCTGGAAAACGAGAAGACAGGTAAAGAACGTATGAGACATAACAGAGTGAAAGAAGGCAGACACTCAAAAGAACATGCTTTTATTGATTCTACTCCTCTGAAGTTCAAAAACAGACACATTAATTTATGGCTAAAGAAGTCATAATAGTATCTTGGTGAGAGGGACTGAATGGGGACCTTCTGAGGTACTAGAAATAATTCTGTATCTTGAGCCAGGTGGTGGGTATATATGTGTGGTATATGTGTATGTAAAAGTTCATTAAATAATACACTTAAGCTGGGTTCAGTGACTCACACTGGTAATCCCTTTGGGAGGCTGAGGTGGGAGGATTGCTTGAGCCCAGGAGCTTGAGACCAGCCTGAGCAACATAGCAAGACCTCATCTCTATGAACAGAATAGAAAAATTAGTCAGGCATGGAGGTACCTGCCTGTAGTCCCAACTATTTGAGAGGCTGAGGCAGGAGAACTGCTTGAAGCCAGGAGTTCCAGGCTGCAGTGAGCTGTGATTGCGCCTCTGCACTCCAGCCTGGGCAACCAGAGTGAGACCCTTGACTCAAAAAAAAAAAAAAAATTATATACTTAAGATCCAAAAGTATTAAATTATTTCTATATCATTTTTACCAAAAAAGAGATAAAGATTATATAGCCGGGTACGGTGGCTCATGCCTCTAATTCCAGTACTTTGGGAGGCTACCGAGGAGGCTGAGGCAGAAGGATCACCTGGGCCCAGAAAGTTGAGGCTGCAGTGACCCGTGAGCGTGCCACCGCACTCCAGCCTGGGTGACAGAGTAAGACTCTAAACCAATAAAGGCCTTTTCTCCTACTTACCAACATTAACCTGGTAATACACAATCCCCAACTTAGAATGATTTCACTTAAGATTTTCCAAGTTTCAAAGGCACAAAAGCAACAAGCATTCAGTAGAAAGTACAATTTTCTCCTGCGATGACAGGCAGCACAACGCCATAACTCCAAGTCAGTCATGCAATCGCAAGGGTAAACAACCGATCTGCTACTGTGTTGCCAGATGATATCGCCCAACTGTAGGCTAATTAATGTAAATGTCCTGAGAATGTTTAATGAAGGCTAGGCTAAGCTACAGTGTTAGGTAGGTTAGGTGTATTAAATGCATTTTCGATTTGCATGAGTTCACCGAGAACATAACCCCATCATACACAGAGAAGCATCTGTACTGGAGCTATTCAGTGTTCATCTTTCTAAACTGAGCTCTGCCTTCACCTCCATTCCCTCTGAAGCCTTTCTCAGCTCTAACCCCCACTCTCTGGCAGCTACTTTTCTCCTCTCCCATAGCATCCAGCACTTACCTAACCGCGCTTATTAACTATTTATAACTGTTTATTCACATGTCCATATGCCACCAAACTGAGTTATTTGAAGGCAGGAATTTCAGCTTAGCTTGATTTTGCAGCTCCTATGCTGTGCCTGACACTGAGTAGATCCTCAATAAATGCCTGTTGAATAAACAATCAAACTGTATATATACTAGTAAGGTCAAGGGCCAGATTCCAGTTCTTTATCTCTGCCATCAAGATGCAGAACTCTCTTTGCAACCTCTCAATTGTAACACTAATAAATTTGCAATTATCATGAGTCCTATAATCAGATTATAGTTGACAGTCAATTAACTACTGTAACAGCAGAAGCCAATTCATCATGAAATTATATTCTTTAAACCAAACAAGGTATTTTACAGAACACTGTTTCTGAAGCAAAATGATACAATTTGAAACTAGCTGTTACACTATCAATTAAAACTCTGCCTTCCCTAGGTCAGATGAGGCAAGCCACAGTAGCAGTTTCACCCTTAGGTGGGGAAAAATCCCTCAACTACAAAGACCTGTGCGAAAGAAAGGATGGGCAGAGGAATATGTCTCATGAGGTTGAAATCTCACAACATAATGGTCTGAAGTTATGTTAGTTAATAAACAAGAGAGAACAATGGTAGTTAAACCCCTTACATCTTCACATTCAAAATACAAAAGCATCCTTCCAATATCCAGACTCACAACTCCTTTTACCATACTTCCAAAATGGTTTATATTCTTTATATTCCTTTACACTTTCATTCCTTCAATACTTACAGAGCACCTACTCTGTTCACATACTGTGCTAGACATTGGTCATACTGAGCAAGAGAGCTATAGGCCCATCTCCCAAAGCTCAAGTTCTAACAGAGAAAGCATTCAACTAATTATTCAACTGTTTGATATTAACTGTATCAAGTAACACAACAGAGAATATAAGTGTTGAGACTATACAACACAGGCTCTATCCCCTGCTTTCCTCTGTACTGAAAATCCATTATTTTATAGTTTCTTACTACAGATACCTAATTACCACTCTACATGTGCACCCCTTTCAGCAGTTATTCTGTATAACTGCCAGGTTTCCAACTGTAGTTCTCAAATATACCTCTAAGGAAGATAAAGAAATTAAACTAGTTCAAAAGTAATTTTTCCACCAGCTGCTTTTATAGTATCAGTTTTTCTTTATGTGTCTTTACTGTATTATAGTCACACTAGGGAATACAAATCTCCTTTCAGTGTTTTGAGTCCTTACTCATTTATGGGGGGAGGTTGTTTTAACTCAAAAAACATTTGTAAAGCATTTACCATCTGAAGACAACACAAGGGGAATGCAAGAAAAGATCTGTGGGTGCAATTCACATTTCACCAAAACCAACCACATGGATTTTCCCTTTGAATATCCATAGATTCACAATTTTTAATATGGATGCAGTATTAAGAACACCCTACCAGAAAAATGTTAAGATTACAAATGTGTTCTTTAAAAAAAAAAAAAAAAAAGACTCATTATAATAACATCAACAAACTATATTTTAGTGGACACTGAACATTTGCTAAATCGACCTTTGTTTTCCAGGATGACAGGAAATCTGTTGTCAGACACAGGAACTGGGTCAGATAATGAAGAGCGAAAAAAGATCGAAACAGAAAATTACATTAAATTTCTGGTAATTAGGACCCCTATCTAGTTGAAAACAGAAACCTAGGGACAATTCCTTATAAGAAAAAAATTCCCTATTACAGACACAGCTACCAATGAAACAGTTTTTCTATTGGCACTTTGAAAGTCAGTCCCGAGTAAGGAAATGTTTTGTATGTAAATATTTAAAGTGCAGAACAAAAGGGGCAAAACAGGTTATCTGGTTTAATAACTTCTGAAATAAAGTTGTAAAGCCCTGAGTTACCAAAACAATATAGGCCTCTTTCCACTTAAAATTGTAAGACAAGTCATCACCTCAGTTCAGAATGGTATGACACAATATTATTTGAAAGTAGAAAAACATACTATATGGCCTACGGTCCCTTACAATTTTTTTCAATTCCAGTTAAACAAAATCCATCATGATTTTTTTCAGTTTTTCATTCATTCCCAAATGTTTATTGGGTGCCTAGCAAGCACACAACTAGCACTGTGCTCAGGCCATGGTGGTCCATAAGACAAATCTAATCACCTAGGCATTATACTCTAATAGGGACACACACTAAAGCAGCAATCCCACAAAAGAACAGACAGCACACTGAAGGGAGAAAGGAGTACTTAGGGAAGACTTCTCTGAGAAATCAACAATAAAGCTAAGATGTAAAAATGAACAGGTAACAGCAAGGATGAAGGGTTAAAGCCCACATTTCAGGCTTGGACGCCTGGACGTCGGCGGAGTCATTCACTGGTAAGCGAAGAGTGACGGAGAACCGGATTTGGAGGTAAGTTAACAAACTCCCATTTACTGGGGGTCCCATTACGTGCCAGGCACTATTCAAATCCTCCTCATTCTGCGCGGTGGAAACTCTTGTTACCAGTTTACAAACATACAAGAGGAACGGAGTGGGGCTAAACGGACGGGCCCAAGGCGAAATCAAGAAATGCGACTTCGGAATACATGTACTCCAAGGCCCGCGCTCTTTCCACTACACAGCTCCTTCCCATGTCCATGCATTTCATCTGGCAGCTGCAGCGGAAAGGAAGGACGCCTCTTCCCGGGAGCACAAGTGGAGGCACCAGCAGGATGGCCTCAGTAAGCCGCTCCCCCTCCCGGGCCTCATCGGCCCAGGGATCGTCTCCACCACCGAAGTTGCATGCAAGAAAGGCGTGTAGAAACTTCATTACAATGAAGACAATTAAGACACTACAGAAGAAACTGCATCTTTTCGAGGGACTTAAAATCAATAATACATAAGTTTAAAAAAAAAAAAAGAAAGAAAGAAAGGAAAAAAGGAAGGGAATTCCCTCGCTCCGCTATCATCGAGCGCTCTCCAAGGAAAAGGAAATCTCCCCGGCGGGTGCCGAGGAGGGGCAGCGGGCCTAGGGTGTTCCCACGCTCCCCGACCTGCATCCCCAAGACTCGCAGGACCCCGGGAGGAACGCCCGCCAGCCCGCCGGGAGCCACGCGGCACAAGGTGACATGGACCGCGCCAGCCCCTCAAGCCGCCTGGGCGAGGCCGGGACGAGGGAGAGGGGCGTCCGCCGACCCGCGCTACCTTGTACTTATCAAAGCCAGCCAGCTGCTCCGCGCTCACGTATTCGTAACCAGCCATGACGACCCGAACACCGAGCGCCCACTCGGCAGCGACTCTCCGCGACCAGACAGCGAAAAGAGCTCCACACGGACTGGGCAAAGCTGGGAAGGACCGAGCTGCCAAAGGCGGCTGGAGAGCCGCGCTCCGCCCACCGCGCACGCGTAGCCGCCTCAGCCACTTCCGCTGCCTCTCAGCGCGCAAGCGCAGCCCCCTCTTCTCCCCGCCCGCCGAAGGAGGATCGCTAGCCCGCTAGCGCGGCCCGCCCCCCGACGCCGTCGCGGTCCAATCGACGTGGATCAGGCAACACTAAGTCCCGCCTCCCAGCTGTCTCCGTCGCTTCATTCGCTAGCGTCAAAATTGGTGAGCTGAGGTAAGGCAAGAGAGGAGGTGAAAGGTCATTTTCCCAGCGGGCTTTGCTCCTCGTCCCGGGAGAAGGCTACGGGTATTCCCTTTTTAGTCCCCGGGCTAGGGTGTGTGTTTGCTAGCCAGTTCGGCAGTACGTCGGGTTAGAGGACTTAGGTCTCAGGCTGCGGTGAAGTAAAAGAGGAAAGAAGCCAAGACACTGGGAGACTTTGTGCAGTCTGCGGAGGGCGTGGAAGCGGGTGAAAGAACGTTGGAGGCAAGCCCCTCGGGTCAGTGTTGCTTGTGAACCCTGGACCGCCTTATCGCACCCCGCCCCTCAGCCGGTTCCATACTGGGAGTGCTGATGTCTTCCGACCAGAAAAGCAGTGATCTCAGGCTCCACCAGTCCTGAAGGCGTTTGCAAGAAGTGTTTTTACATAACTGAAGGCCAGTTCGTTACAGAAAGAATGCCAGATCGGTGGCTAGTTTGTATCTAGTTAAAATTTAACAGAAATAGGTGCGACTTTTTATTGAGCGCCCTATAATGCGAAGAACGTCACATACCGTATCATCAACCCCCATAACAACACGGTGAAGTGGAAGGCATTATCCCCAGTTCGCGGATTAAGAAATAAAAATTCAGATTACGCGCCTGCCCAGCGTCTCTTCGTTACACAGCTCCAAAACATGAAATGCGATCTGTGTAATCGAAAACCACTACCTCAGGGAGCCTCTGAGTCTCTGGGTTTCTGATGAGGGCGATTGTTTTGACATACTTTTAAGTTCCTTACATTCATTCAACAAATACTTGTTGGAGGCCCAAGATATGCCGAGCACATTGTTACTGGATGTGTCTTATCTCCCCCCTCCTAAAGTATAAGATTCTAAGATAATAGATATAAAGCATCTATTATAACTGGTACGTGGTAGACAAGTGTGTCCCACACTTGCCTTCAAGGGGAGGATTTGTATCTTTTTTTTTTTTTTTTTTTGAGTTGGAGTCTCTCACTCTGTCACCCAGACTGGAGTGCAGTGGCCGCTCCCAGCCACCGCAGCCTCGACCTCCTGGGCTCCGGCGATCCTTCCACCTCAGCCTTCCGAGTAGCTGGAACTACAGGCGCGTGCTACCACGTCCGGCTAATTTTTGATTTATTGTAGAGATGAGGTCTCGCCAAGTTGCCCAGGCGGGTCTCGAACCCGCGGGCTCAAGTTATCCACTCACCTCAGCCTCCCAAAGTGCTGGGATTACAGGCTGAGCCACCGAGCCCGGCTGAGGATTTGTATCTTATACATCTTAATTTTCCCCATGTCCTGTAGCCCAGTGGCTTGCAAATAATACACGAGCAATATATTTTATTGAATGAGCGAAGATCTCTGGTATTATGTGAAGTGCCATTTTTGGAAAGGACATTAGAAATTAGAGTCTCCCTTAATTTAAGAAGGAAATTGACTCTAATGAAAGGAAAACTATGACACTGGACCTAAAAGTACTTGTTTTATGCAAGTACTGCATTTAAATCCCTTCTGTATACTGATAAGAAAACTAAATCGACAACACTTCTGTGCTAATTACAGTAGTAGCTCATGCCTGTAATGCCAACACTCTGGGAGGCAGAGGGACAGGATTAACTGAGCCCAGGAGTTCGAGACTAGCCTGGACAACCTGGCAAGACCTCCTCTCTACAATAAATCCAAAAAAAATTAGCTGGGTATAGTGGTGTGTGCCTATAGTCCCAGCTACTTGGAAGTAGCCGCTGCACTCCAACCTGGGAGACAGTGAGACTCCAACTCAAAAGAAAAAAAAATTTGGACAAGTTACTAATCAGAGTAAGGCTATTATCCCAAGTACAGTAATGCTCTCCCATCTATCAGCACCTGATTTCTTCTGTGAGGTGTTTCTTCTCATCAATAGAAATATGATAAAAAGGAAAGGACTCTTATTATCAGATGACTCTTAATACAAAGCCTGTGCTTATCCATCTGAAATATAAACTTTATACTTGTAAATTTAGTTAATTGTGAGAAGCCATAAAATGTGACCTGAGTGCAAGCTAATGATAATTTATAAACTGCATTTATTGTTAATCACTTCAGATGTAAGCAAACACAAAATTATTTTTTTATTTTAAAAAACGTTTTTCTTGTCTCTGATATTTTCTTCAAAAGCAACATTTTTTTAAAAAAGAACAGCATCCTGTGAAGCTGTTATACTTTGCAGCGTATTCTCTGCAGATGGTTCTAACAAGCTTGAATCAATTATAAGTTTATCTGAGAATTTCTAAACTGAAATACAACATAGAACTTTGTTTATGCTGTGACATCTTTTACTTTCTGGCTGTGCAATCCCAGATTCTTTACTTCACTTAGTCCCAGTTCTCTTTTTTTAAAAGAGGACATTAAATTAAATCTCTAAGATTCTATTCATCTCTGAAATTCAATGAAGCTATATATCACTTAACTTCTCTAGGATTAAATCAACTCATCTGGAAAATGATAATTCTTGTCCTACCTTACAGTTATTATAAGAGCTTAAGGTTATTCAATTAAACTCATACAAACATAAGATATTATTACAGTTATGTGCTGTATAACAACGGTTCAGTCAATGATAGACTGCATATAGCATGGAAGTCCCACACGATTAATGGAGCTGAAAAGTTCCTGTTGCCTAATGACATCATAGCCATCAGACATGTTTGTGGTGATGCTGGTATAAACAAGTCCACTGGCTGGGCGCAGTGGCTCAAGCCTATAATCCCAGCACTTTGGGAGGCTGAGGCGAGAGGACTGCCTGAGTCCAGGGCTTCAAGACCAGCCTGGGCAACTTGGTGAGGCCTTGTTTCTACAATAAATCAAAAAATTAACCAGGTGTGATGGTGTGCACCTGTAGTTCTAGCTACTTTGAAGCCTGAGATGGAAGGATCGCCTGAGTCCAGCAGGTCAAGGCTGTAGTGGCCATGAGCATACCACTGCACTACAGCCTGGGCGACAGTGAGACTGACTCAAGAAAAAAAAAAAAGAGAGAGAAACAAGCCCACTGTGCTGCCAGTCATATAAAAGTACAGCACATGTAATTAGATATATGTATTAGGTATTGTAATACATAATACTTGATAATGACTATATTATTGATTTATGTATTTATTGTACTTTTTATTATTTTAGAGTGTACTATTCTACTTATTTTTTAAAATGTTAACTGTAAAAAAGCCTCAGGCAGGTCCTTCAAGAACTATTCAGAGAAAGGCACTGTTATCATAGGAGATGACAGTTCTATGCGTGTTATTGCCCCTGAAGACCTTCTAGTGAAACAGGATGTAGAGATGGACAACATAGATATTGATAGTCCTGACCCTGTGTAGGCTGAGGCTAATGTGTGTGTTTGTGTCTTAGTGTATAACAAAACATTTTAAAAAGTAAAAAACAAAACTTTAAAAATAGAAAATAGCGTACAGAATAAGGACATCAAAGCAATATTTTTGTATAGCTATACAATGTATGTTTTAAGCAAAGTGTTATTACAAAAGAGTCAAAAGTTTAAAAAATTTAAAAGTGTATAAAGTAAAAAAGTTCAGTAAGATAAAGTTAACTTATTTTTGAAGAAAGAATATTTTCAAATAAATCTAGTGTAGCCTAAGTATATAGTGCCTACAATGTCTATGGTAGTGGATGGTAATGTCCAGGCCTTCATGGTCACTCACCAGTCACTGATTCACCCAGAGCAATTTCTGGTCCTGCAGGAAGCTCCATTCATGGTAAGTGCCTTAAATGAGTATACCATTTTTATCTTTTATGTCATACATTTACTGCACCTTGTCTATATTTAGATACATAAATACTTACCATTACATTACAGTACCTACAGTATTCTGTTCAGTAACGTACTGTATAGGTTTGTAGCCTAGGAGCAATACACTATACTATCCAGATTTGTGCAAGTGCTCTCTATGATGTTTGCACAACCATAAAATGTGTGTAACAACCCTTACTCAAAATGTGTTCCTGTCACTAAGGAATGCATGACTGTATTTGCCAAGAATTCCATAAATCTTAGACCTGGCAGGCAGCCTCCTGGAAAGATAAAATTGTCAAGTAAACCAATTTGCCTTTGGACTTGAATTGCCTTCCTGTTTCCTCTTTCCAGAATTTCGTTCTAGGAGCCATCTTCTCCCTAAGGCAGCCCAGATCCACCAGGGACTGCTTTCTATTGACTGGGTTGTTTCCATGTATGCCCTGTACAATCTCTTCCCTGTGCACCAAAGTGTCGAGCATAGTTTATGGTTGCCTTCCTTCCCTTATCTGCCTCCTCATCCATCGAAGTTTCTCTCTTCCACATCTTGTATGTTCAAGGTCAGACTTTTTGCCTTCCAGAATGATAATCACAGAAAATCAGAAAATACCAACTGATACTGGAAATTGTCATCTTTGTAATATAACCTTTAGCAACGAGACCTCATCTCTACAATAAATAAAATTTTTAAAAAATCAGCTGGGTGTGGTAGCGCATGCCTGTAATTCTGGCTACTCGGAAGGCTGAGGTGGAAGGATCGCCTGAGCCCAGCAGGTCGAGGCTGCGGTGGCCAGGAGCAGCCACTGCACTTCAGTTTGGGCGCCAGAGTGAGACTCCAACTCAAAAAAAAAAAAAAAAAATTAATGAAGTTAAAATAAATAAAAAGGTGTTTTCATTCCTGGTGTTCCCATTTTATTTAGTCTGAATAAGAGCGTGTCAGAAAAATGGAGACAGCTAGAAAATTGGAGGTTAGTTAAGGATTAATATAGGTGATATCTCCAATATTAGTTGTTGAAACCATAAAA